AAAAAAAAAAAAAAAAAAAAAAAAAAAGACCCCTACCTCATTTTATACAAAAAGTGTAGACCTAGACCTAAATAAAATAGCTAGAATCTAAAAATTTTAGGAAAAAACAAAATCTTTGTGTCCTAGAGTTAGGTAAATAGTTGTCATATATTAAATTCAAAGGACATCATTTTAAAAAATTAAAAGACAAGTCACAGATTGGGAGAAAATTCTGCAAATCACTTATCTGATAAAGGACTTCTATCCAGAATATGTAAGGAAAACTTGAATAGGCGATTCTCTAAAAGTGTATGAAAAGATGCTCAGCATCACGGACTGTAAGAGAAATGCAAATCAAAACCAGAGTGAGAGATCATCTTACCTCTTTTAGGATGGCTGGTATCCAAAGAACAGAAAGTAACAAATGGTGAAAATCTCTGGAAACCTTTGTATACTCTTGGTAGAACTATAAAATGGTGCCGTCATTAAGAGAAACAATACAGAAAGTTCCTCAAAACATTAAAAGTCGGATTACCATATTCTGGGTATATATTCAAAAGAATTCAGTTTAGCTTCTTGCAGACATATCTGTACACCCATCATAGCGTTACAGTAGCCACGAGGGAGAAATAAATATCTATTGGCAGATGAATGGATAAATTAAGTGTGGTATAAACATAATGGAATATTATGCAACCTTAAAGGAAATCCTGCCACATGCTCCAATATGGATGAACCTTCAGGACGTTATGCAGAGCAAAATAAGCCAGTCACAAAGGGACATCTATAATTCCACTAATACAAAATATTTAAAGTAGTCAAAATAACAAAGTAAAAAGGTAGTTGCCAAAGTGTAGGGGAGTTGGTAGTTAGTGGGTCTAGAGTTTCAATTTTGCAAGATGTAAAGTTCTGGAGATCTGTTATACAGCAGTATGAATATACTTGGCACTACTAAACCTTACAGTTGAGGTAAGTTTCATGTGTGCAAAATTTACCACAATAAAAAATTTAAAAAGATTTAAAAATAAGACAGTGATTCCCAACATTTATCATGATATGGCACCCTTTACCCAATATACATGCCACATATTGGGTAAGGGAACAGGCTATTTCTAACCAGAGGAAACTGCCCCAGGGTAGATACTGTGACATATCTCTTTGAATGCTCCAGGAACAGACCAACCACTATGGACTAAACAGATACTGATACATGCAAGTTCCAGAAATTTCTTAAATGTTTTTTAACATCATTCCTATTGGCCAAAGCTCCGAGAATCAGTTTCCTGTTTTCAGCTTGTTGGAGATTGTTCTGTTTCTGCTTTACTTTAGTGTCCTGGCCTGCCCTCTCCTTGTACCATTTATCAAGTAACTTGGAAGAGAAGAAATTTATAAACAAGACAAAATATTTCAATCTTCATTTGATGTAGTACCATCATTTTTCACGATAGCTACCTTCTTGACCTCTAAACAACCATTCTTCAAAGAGCCTTTTTTACCCCACAAAAGTCACTTTAAGGATACAGAGTTTTAGAAATAAGTTACTTCTACATAAGGTATATAAAACAAAATAGATGTCTTAAAGACACTTTAGCTCTTCTACTTAGAAGAAGCTATTGAGAGTCAAATAACTAACTTTAAATTACTCTTTACTACCTGAGAGCCAATAAAGATACACTCACAATTTTCCTAAATTTCTGTCAACTTTAGAGGCACCTGGATGGCCCAGGGTAGAGCATGTGACTCTTGAACTCAGGGTCATGAGTTCAAGCCTCATGTGAGCATGTAGCCTACTTAAAAAAAAAAAAAAAAGTTTTGTCAGCTTTATAATGCTAAAGGCAAAATGTGCAAATAATTACTCCTGTGGACTCAAGCATTGTTCTTCTACAATGAAAAAGAGATAATGCCATCAAATTGTCTATTTTTAAAGGCTGAGGCCACTGGTAAGCTAACTTCAGTAGCATTTACATATAACTTAAATGTGGAAATGGATGACACCCCATCAAGGTAAGAAAAGAAATCAAGCTACTAAAATTTCAAGATAGAATTGTCTATTATGTAACCTACGTACCCAGTCTCTCTGTAAGCGACAACAACTAGTATCAAATGGGAAAGCACTCACCTAAGGATTTAACTACCAGTTGTCTTCAGCGCACTGAGTGATCTGCTTGGAAAAGAACCTGTGGCATGGGCTGTAAAAATGTTGCGAGCTGCCTGTTCTGTGAATAAAGACTGGAACACAGCCACGCTCATTTGTTTATGTATTGTCTATGGCTGCTTTTATATTGCAGTGGTGGAGTTTAATTGTTCTGACAAAGATTAGGCTGTAAACCTAAAATATTTACTATCTGGCTCTGTAAGAAAAAGTCTGATCTATGGCATAGTTTTTCAAACATTAGAAAAAGCATACAAATCATCTTGGGATCTTGTTAAAATGCAGATCTCATTCAGAAGGTCTGACATGAGTGAGACCTTAGAGTCTGTGTTTCTGAGAAGCTCCAGGTAACGCCAGTGCAGCTGGCTGGCTCAGCACACTTTCAGTAGCAGGGGTTTAAGGTATGCAGTGATCTACTCTGCTAGTATAGTGTTTCTCAACCTGTGACAGTTTTGTGCTATAGTGTATATACAGGACAGCTCCTTAACCCAGCTCTGTATGCCCATAGTGATGCTGCTGAGAAACCCTGAATTCTGAGCAAGTTACTAGCCTCAAATGCATATCAGAGTCTATTAGAGACAGGAAAAATACCAACACCCCTTTTAGTTCTGGCCATGAATAATGGGCATCTGACCTCCCCTCCTGCTGTGGAAGCCCATGAAATAAAGTATACAGTATAAGAGAGTTGGACAAAATATATGAAGCAACTTATCAGACACAGAAAATAAACAAGGCTGTGATTCTTGAAGCAAGGAAAACAACCCAGATCTTGGGCTACAATTTCAGATGGTATTTACCTTAGATCAGCCTCCAAAAGACCTAAACAGAAGTCAGGACATGACTCAAGTTGACCCACCAATAAATACCTCCCAGGACAAAAGTCAGTATTCTCTAAAAGAATACAGTAAAATGTAGAGTTTCAAGAACTGACTAGCATCCACAATATTCAGCTCATAATAAAACTTTACCACACAGGGAACAGGAAAATGTGAAAAGAAGAGAAATAGATGTGACCCAGATGGTAAAATTATCAAACAAGGACAATGAAACCTCTATGTAAATATGTTCAAGGACTTAAATGAAAAGTTAAACATAACTAGTGAACAGAT